GATATTCCCGGGAGCTGAAGAAATCGGATGCACCATCGGGAAGTGCGTCGGCCCTGATGGACAACTGGCCACTATTTGAAAATATGAGCTTCTTGAAGGAGTTTGTCAAGCCAAGACCGCAAGTATTTTAAAATTTAATATATGTACTAAGTGTTTACGATTAATTTAATTTATAGAACTCGGTGCACAACAAATATTTTGGACGAGTATGTAGAATACCCCCCTTCGCCAAATTTCCCGATGTCGCTTTCGGTGTCGGAGTCGTCTGTGCTGACAGATTCTCTTGACTTCGAGGAGTCGCCGTTATTGACGGAGGAGTTGGCTTGTGGACAATCAACCCCGACAACTTCTCAGAAGAAAAGAAAACGACAAGAAAATGATGCAGATGGAGAGTTTCGCGAGGTATGTAAAATGTACAAGGATCTATGGAAAGAGCGCGCTGCGCAAAAATGTAGTGACACCCTTCGTGCATTTGGGCAAATGATTGTGTCCACTGTCAGCGAAATGAGCCCGGCGAAACAAGCAAAGGCCATACAAGTTGTGACAAATGCCATAATGACCCTTAAATTGGAGCCCGAAGAATAGGAAAGTAAGCTCAATCTCTATGTATCACATAACTTATTATTCTTGCATTTTTTATGTATGTAGATTCATTTATATCTTTTTCTTTGCAGGTCACGACTCATCTTGATGCTTGTGTATACTTTATATTAGATACCTATATAAGTTTAGTTTAATTCAAACATAATCCAAATATTGAAATTGAAGTGCATTAGAATGTTTGTTTTAGGTTTCAAAAGCTATACATTTAAAATAATTATCTATTACATCATTGCATGTTAAGCTGCCTTTACACGGGTCGGTTTTTTGTCGTTCATCCGAAATAGACCCGGGTAAATGGCAATTCCACTGTAAAATGTAAATATTTTGGCTAGCCGATTTTCCAGTCGACAAAAATCAACCCGTGTGAAGGCATCTTTAAATAGAAAACAATATTAAATCATTTCGTCGCTGGAATAATGAAATAGTGTAACATGAAAAGTATAGTTTTGAGAAAAAGGAATTGGAAGTTTTTATAAACCATTACAAACCATACAGATACAATTTAGTTTTTCGGGAATAAATTAGTGAGCCAAAGAGATATTTAAGAAAACTAAAGATTTATCTAATAGATTAAAGGATTGTCTATACAATGGGGCAATTATCGAATAATAGTGTATGTGGCATTAGACTGTTTCTTTATTCGAGCGACGATTTGTAACATTGTTAGCCTATAGGTTGTGTACAAAGGTTTAATAAGTATCATTTTTAAATATAGATAACAAATAATGGTATATTGACAATATTATAAATGACTTATGTTCCTTGTCAAACCTTTGTACACAACCTATAGGCTAACAATTATACAAATGATTTAATATTGTTTTGTATATTACATGTGTAAGTGACTGTATGCATATTAAAAACTGGATTGTTCTTGTACGTATGTACACCCTTCGTCATAATAATAGATATACGATATTTTGACCAGTTTTTACAATTTTCATTTTGTTTATTACATGCTTTTTTATAAACATCTAGCTCATTATAAAGAAAACACTACACAAATCCGGATTTCAAAGTTTGTAGAAAACTTTAAGAGTTCAACAAATTTCCACAACAATCCATTCATTGGGCATTTTTAGAAAAATTCTAGGCAAGTAGTTTATAGCACCTTCAGTCTTACACTTTATTATGCAAAAACTTAATGGGCTATAAACTACTTGGAATTTTTCTAAAAATTCTCAATGCACGGATTGTTGTAAAAATTTATTGAACTCTTAAATTTTTCTACAAACTTTGAAATCTGGATTTATGTAGTGTTTTCTTTATAATGAGCTAGATTTTTATAAAAAAAAAAAGCATTTAATAAACAAAATAAAAGTAGTCAAAAATGGTCAAAACATTGCGTACCTTTTATTATAACCAGGGGTGTATGATATATATACTATATATATAATTACATATATTTTTTGTGTTCACGTGATGATAGTACCTGCTTGGCAGATCTCATTTTTTCGATTTAAGTACTTTTGTTTTTATACAACAATTGGGTGATTCTCAAGTTATCACAACTAGTCATGTTGGCATATCATATATATCGTCGTTTAAAGTACAAAACTGCGTAACTGACATTGGCTGCCGAAAATTGGATTTGCTCATACAAGCTCATGGCTCAATCCTTATCTATTCGTCTTGAAATATACTAACCAGAAATGCGATTGCTTTATAAAAAAGATAACCATTTTGAAATATGAGTGTTTTTACGCTCTAGAAAACTACAACTTCACATACGCTGTTTTGCATTTTGTTGATACGCGGTTTTGCAGTTTAAACGACGATATGTATATGTATATACATATGTACATACAGTTGCGGTGAAGAAAGTATCAAAATTATGTTTACTTATTTTAGTCATTTTTATTTAAAATATATTTCAATCTAAAACAGAAACTATACATAAATAAAAGTTTCAAAGCTTGCACATAGTTCAAAAATATTTAATCGTGAAAATTTTAGAGTATGCAGGTTTGTAGCCCATCATAATATTTAATTTTGCTACTCTCTTATTGACCGTAGCTGTATGAGTAAATATATATTATGTTTATAATATAATTATAAACAAGAGACTTTGGGAATTTAATGAATTTGCATGTTAATTTTTTACTTTACTTTATTTTTAATAAAAATATTTTATGAATGTTATAACAATATTTTTACTAAATGGGACATGTATGTATAAGGCACTTACAATCAAGCAAGGTATTGAAATGCATGGTAGAAGTTTGTAAAACAAGTTTGCGTTTTACAAATTTTAATATTTTCCCATGGCGCAGCTTATAATTTTTTATGAAAATATACACATACCGCCCGCGACATTTTTACCAGTTTTGTACACTATTCTTTTGCTTTTTTACGGTTTATTAATTTTTTTATTAAAGTTCAGCTCCCTGTCTAACAAAAACCATATATGTACATGAATGCAAATACCAAACTTTGTACAAAAATTATAAAAGTTCTCCAAAGTTTTCATCTCAATTCCAAATATTTTCATTCGAGTTTCTTAATTAATTTTTAGTATGCAGTTTAAAGCTTATTGAAATTTAGTATAATAAAGGGACAGTTTTAAGTTGCTAAAAAATCGCATTGATTTTTGATATTTTTTTTCTGACGGTGTTTTGCTTTTTTTCCATATAAGAAACTATTTTCTAGGCATTTTTTCTATACAAGGTTTGAGCAAGTTTTGTTTATAAGAAAGAAAATTCTAGAGCCGTCAGCAAAAAATTTTTTTTTAAATCAACGCAATTTCTTACCCACTTCAAATGTGTACATTATTATACTAAAATTGAATGGGCTATAAAACTGCATACCGTATTTTTTTTTGATCTTAGTAAAAAGTTTAAAATTTTGATGAAAATTTGTAAAATTCTCCTTAATTTTATAAACAATTTGAAACTGGTTTAAATGAATTTTTTTTGGTTTTGATTTACATTTATGGGTTTGTTTATATAATAATAATATAGCAAATAATAAGTTATTGGTTGGAGTTTGATCACCAATTGGTTTACTTTATTGATTTCACTTTCTTTTATACCAAATTCTTACACTAACACTTACAAATTATTTACGAACTAGAATGTATACAAATATACTACTAATACCTACAAACTAACTACATAACTCTAAAATATGCTAAGTCAACATATGGTTGCAATAAATATATAAATATGTCAGTCGCATTGACAAACTGACGTTGTGGATCAGTTAGTCACTGCGACTGTCTTTGGCGGTGTCTTTGACCGTCCGCACAAGTGTAACAAGATCCTCGCTATGTGCGATGAATGCAGTCTTTGCATAAACTCCCGCTGAGTTCAATGTAACTGATTTGGGTAAACTGTTGTTTGTGTACATTCCTATTTGTTTATACATTACTTATGTGCACATGACAATTAAAGTAAAAAGGGCGATGTGCTTATGCTACAATAATAATACTAATGGGAATATTAATAATACGTATGCATGAATGAACATTTTACTGAAAAGGGACGGAACCTTGATTCAAAAAATAGTCTGCCAATTTTTCCCTTAAACGGAATGCAGCCGCGCTTGCATTACGTCGATTTGACGTTATAGAGGTCAATGGACCACCCAGATCCTCCAGATCACGGCGCCATTCTCCATTTGTTGTCACTTGTTCTGGGTCATCTGTGTCTACGAAATTTTCTGGACAGTACCATCGTTTTAGATCGTTTAGCATAACAAAGTTGTGCAAAACCAAGCACGCTAAAACGATCTTTTCGCAGTTCTCCGGACTACAATCGATGACTTTTCGAAGGACACGCCAGCGAGCAGTTAAAATCCCGAAGCTATTTTCAATTACCCGACGAGCTCGCGACAATCGGTAATTAAAAACTGTTTTGCTGCGAGTTAGTTGTACGCCAGGGTATGGCCGCATTAAATTTTCCTTCAGTGGGAATGCCGCGTCGGTGACAAAAAAATGTGGAAATTCTTCCGTCGATCCTCTCCATAACGGCGTTTTTGGTGGTAGTGGCAAACTATTGCTCAGCAGCGCCCGTCCAAATGCTGTTTGCTGGAAAACACCTTGAAATAAAACAAACAAATTTAAAATGAGTAAATGCCAATTCCTTTAAAATATTTTTGTGTTACCTCCATCACTTTGTCCTCCGAAGCTTCCAATGCTAGCGGATGTAAATGTGTACTTGACGTCGCAGGTAGCCATTAAAACTATACTATAAAATTTTTTATAATTAAAGTACAGCGAGCCAGAATTCTTCGGACAAGTGATTGCTATGTGTTTCCCGTCAATGGCTCCTACACAATTTGGCATATTCCACATTCTGGAAAAGTCGTCCGCAATGTCTTTATATTGCGCCAAAGTGGGTTCGCTGAGATACACTGGAGACAAAGTGGTCCATATAATCTCGCAGGTCTCTAACACAATATTCCGAACAGTTGTTTTTCCCATCTTGTGCATTGAAGCGACGATTTCGAACGACGTTCCATGTGCGAGGTACCTACAAAAAAAATTGTTACTATAATGTAATGAATATCTAGCATTCGCCTATAACTTACATCAGTGTTATCGCAAGGCGCTCTTCTGGAGAGATTTGTTTCTTGGGTCTTTCCAGAAACGGATTTAGCAACGTTTGCAATAAATCGTACAACGGGCGGTTCATCCTGGTTAAAAAAAAAATCTTGCTGTCGTGGGATATGCATTTCAAGAACACTTTCCTAAAGTATCCATTAAATTTCCGATCCCTATTTACTGGATGAACCGCCCAGCGCCGTACTCGCCTCGATTCTTGCCGTTTCTGTTGAAGACGGCAAATATTTAAAAATGCCAAATCGAGGAAGTCTTCTTCCATTTGTCCATCAGGCCACATGGTGTATTAATCAAGAAAACACCTGTAGGAGTATGTTTAATTATTATTAAGTGTACTTAATTTGCCAAATTAGTTACTTACTCTTTGAACAACTTTTCCTGTCAGAAAACAAATTAATTAATAAATCGATATTTCCCAAACAGCTGATTTTGAAATATAATGTGCGATATGCGGAGTATAACCACTCCCCTGTTTCACATGCGCTGCTTGATTATGCCCTGCCTTGCTATGTTAGTATAACCAGCGCTTAAGTCTCTGCCCATGCCTGCTTATGAGCTCCAATCAGGGTTGCCACTGACGAAAATAAATACTTACCATCTATTTTTAAAAAATCTACCAAATCTGGAAAATATCTACCAAAAACTTTTTTAGTTATTTTAATAAAAACTATAGATTTGTTCTTTGTTTAGTTATTTCAATAACAAAATTTGAGTAAGTAATTTTTCTTTAACCAATGATATTGTATTTGAGGTCATATTAATGACATCTTCTCGGTTTCCTTCAAATAAAAGCAAAAATGATGAAAGTAAAGGCAACAACGAAACTTCATCATTTGAAAAAAACTACAACTGGAGTTATTATAGACAAATACAGTGACTTAAAAAACGCTTGGTGATTTTTTTTTTATAATATTCACAATGGTTTTCTGCTAAAAATTGTATTTTTGTAAAAGAACATTGTTTGCGCTTTAACGAAAATCATAAAAATCATGGATTAAAGCTATGCATATACCACATTTAGAAGAATTTAACAAATTAGCGCCAATATTTCGAACTTTTTTCTCTGAATTTTTAAAACATTTTTGGGTTTACAGTTTTTAGTCCATTGAATTTTAGTTTATTGATTTTAATTTTTTTTGCCACCGGAAGTTTGTGTCTTTTTTCCTTTTTTAATTTAACAACTGCCGTTTATAAAACCGGCGCTGATTTTTTTTAATTTTTTTTGCGAATCATAGTGTGTAATTATGTGCCTGTTCATTTTTTATTTTTATTTGAAGAACCATTTAAAATATTTAGGCAATCAAAAGCTCCTCAGGATTCCAGCAAAACGAGTTTTGAATAGAACACGATATGTTCGCCTTTTATCGAAAGCGTTCGAAAAATAATGCAATTAAGTGGACTATACTTTTAGAAAAAAATTTTAAATAAAAAGATAATTACAAAAAATAAAGCGAGAACGAAAAGTTTTAAAGTTCAAGTAAAATACTTTAACAAAAATCTACCAAAATTAGAAAAAATGTACCTTTTTACCAACCCGAATTTTTTCTACCAATTTTGGTAATAATTTACCAAAGTGGCAACCCTGGCTCCAATTCATATTGCTCACTGACTTCGTTTCGCTTAAAGCTCAGTTAGTCTAGACTAAATTTTGGTAACTTAACTTAACTTAATATTTTGGCCAACATGTTATATGAGAAACTGTGTTAGCGGTTAGTTAAAACTTAACTTACTGTAAGCAACTTAAGAACCTGTAGATTTTAGATTCTTAAGTTATGGCCTTACGGAAATTGAGAGCGGTGAGAGAATCAGGCTTGCCTGATTTTCGTTTTTGTAATTCTCAAAAATTAATGACCGCAAGCATATTTGTTTGCATGGATTTTTTTTGATGTGGCATTTTAGGCGGCAAACTATCAAAGAACTGAAAAAGAAAATACAAAAACAAAATATTACCGCTTTTGGCTTAAGATGAAGTGTTGCGTAATCATTGATGATTTCTTACGGTAAGTTAAATTAAGTTAAGTCTAGACTATCTGAGCTTTTACAATTATGAATCTGAAAGGCTTGTGAATAAACGCAAGACTCATTTGCTCGCAAGCAGGGTTGCCACTTTGGTAAATTGTTACCAAAATTGGTAGAAAAAATTTGGGTTGGTAAAAAGGTAAATTTTTTCTCATTTTGGTAGATTTTTGTTGAACTTTCCCGATTTATTTTTCGTAGTTATCTTTATATTATAAATTTCTTTGCATACTTTTTATATAATTACATAAGTATAAATGTATATCGATATAAGGCGAACATATCGTGCTCCATTCAAAACTCATTTTACTGGAATCCCGCGGAGCTTTTGATTGCCTAAATATTTTAAATGATTATTTAAATACATACATATAAAGAAAAAAATTACAGGTATGTAATGACGCACCATGGTTGTTCGCAAAAAATTAGATCAAAGCAATTTTTTATTAAAAAAAAATTTTTAAATAAAAAAAAAACACAAAAGACTGGCGACAAAAAAAATCAACGGGAAGCACATTGTGAGCTATGTATACTCAAGTATTATTTGCTTTAAAATTCGATACCTTACATTGTTCTAAAAATTCAGAGTAAAAAATTCGAAATTTGGGCGAAAATTTTTAAACATTTTCTAAATGTTGTATGTATATGTATAGTTTTAATCCTTAATTTTTATGGATTTAGTTAAAGCAACAAAAAAATTGTTCTTGAAAAAGATTGCGAATAATAACAAAATCACCAAGTGCCTTTTTGAGTCACTGTATTTGTCTATAATAACTCGAGTTGAAGTTTTTCAAATTATGAAGTTTCGTTGTTGCCTTTAGTTTCATCACATCCGCTTTCAGTTGAAGGAAACTGCGAATATGCCAATAATATGACTCAAATACCGTATAATTAGTTAAATAAAAAGTTCCCTAAAAACAATTTTAGTTCTTATTGCAAAAACTAAAAAAATAAAAAAATATAGTTTTAACTAAAATAAATAAATAAATACCAAAACAACAGTTTTTATTTAAATAACTATAAAAAATTTATTGGTAGATATTTTCCAGAATATTGAACCCTAGATATCAAACGCACTCTGACAGACTCGAGTCGGTACAGAAACAATTCTTATTATTCGCATTAAATAATTTGCCTTGGGATTCGACATTAAATCTCCCACCGTACAAAAGCCGCTTGAAGCTCATAAATTTGCCAACGCTGCACAGCTGATTAAGATCTTGAACGGGATGGTCAATAGTCCCTTTCTACTGAGCCAGATCCTGTTTTGTATTCCTTCTAGGCCTTCTAGACATTACAAGCCCATTAAGCTAACTATTTGTAGAACAAATTTTGAAATGCATGATGCTTTTCGTTGCCCATGCCTGGACTTTAGTAAGCATTACGACTATTTTGACACCTCCAACTCACATTTTACCATTAAGAAAACCTTACTTGAGATTTTGAATAAATAACATGTAAACCCTTACATTGCACCTTATCGTTCAGCTGGTGAACTGTATTTCTGTTCAGTTTATAAGGTAAACGTAAACGTGAATCGCTTTTTTGTAACTAAAGAAATTAATATCTTTAACCGGGAACGATAAATTACACAATACCTATGACTGCTTAGTACAACTGTAATTGGCTTCGTATATTTTCGCGACCGCGTAAGACAATACGAGCATGGATCGGAAACTCGGCCTTTCCGACAACAACACCTTGTCCACAGCGCGGAGCGAAAACTAGAGCTTTCCGCCTGCCACAAACTCTAAGTAATGACTTCGGGAACATGGATCGGAAACTCGTTCTTTCCGACCATGCTGAACAGCTTGTCCACAGTGCGGAGCGGAAACTAGAGCTTTCCGCCTGCCATACATTCAAAGTAATGACTTCGGGAACATGGATCGGAAACTCGTTCTTTCCGACCATGTTCAACAGCTTGTTCATAGCGCGGAGCGGAAACCAGAGCTTTCCGCCTGCCACACATACAAAGTAATGTCTTCGGGAACATGGATCGGAAACCCGGCCTTACCGACCTTGATCAACAGCCTGTCCGCAGCGCGGGGCGGAAACTAGGTCTTTCCGCCAGCCGCACACAAAAGTATACTGAAGACTAGGCCTTGCCAGCTACCAAACCTGCTATTTTATGTTGTTATTATTATTATTATTATTATTATAAATTACTATGTATCTAAATGTTCTATTCTCATTTGTCTGTAAGAAAACATTTTTCTGTAGACCAAATAAATAAATAAATAAATTAGCAAATTTCGAGATGGGTATTTTTTTTACAGTTACTAAGTGTAAATATTTTAGTCTTCTTAGACGAAACCAAACAAGTCTAGTACATGATATACATATGTGTTGAATATATGTACATAAAAAGAATGCGATTTAACTTCGAAATACAATGGATAATGGCATCCTACTTACTTTTATGGTATTTCTCACCCCAACCCCAAACTAGAAATTAATCCATGTATATGTATGTTGCGTTAACATTATTAAACGATTTTATTTAATAAATTTAACAAACCCATCAAGATGTAATTTTTCTGATCTTCTTATTTTCATGCTAGTTTTGTTATCTTTTAACTTCAGATTTAAATATCGAATTCACAAAAGGAAGCGCTGGAAATTTAAAAACATTTGTACCGTCTTCCTGGAAGTGGTATTTTGTATTTTTGCAGCTTCCAAATGCATAACTCATTTTTCTTTTTATTATTTTACAAAATTATTTTGTTTTTGTTATGTCTAGTTTATTTCTGAAAAAAATTATATTAGCCGTGTTTTATTTGTCCAGAAATTTAAGCTATTAGCTTATTTTGTATGGAGGACTTACCCAACATAATTATATTGACTTATGAAAAGCTATCTGGGCTTGTATATTGAACAAGAGGCATTGCCATTCAGAGACCGGCTTTGAGTACTAATAAAATTAGTGTACTTATTCATGATCCGTAAAAATTAGTGCAAATGAGCACTTACACCAGTGCCCGCCAAACACTTTCCTGGGAAACGAACTATATTCGGCATTTCACATGTACACAATCGGCTTCTTACACGTACACAATCCGAACGTCAACAGAAAGAGTAGAAGAGCAACAAATTTTATTTAGTTGCATGCAAACAATAGGCGAAGCAGGTTGATGACGCATTATTGTTGAATAAAGTAGGTACACTGAGCAGAATGAATGAATATTCATTAAAAAATGTTATAACACATTTTTTCGTACATACAGCCCTAGAAATAGGTATGTATATGGTACCAAGTCGTGCTTTTTCTTCATATTAAAAGAACTTTGTGAATTATGTATTTTTTTTTAATACCAGACTAGTCCTCAATTAAAACATACAATATGTTTTGTTATTTATCTTTTGGTTTAATCGTTATTTTAAATTGTTCTTAAATGTCAAGTTTTACCTAATTATAAAATAAATATATATTAGATATATATATGTTTATTTTATTTCTACTTGAAATCAACGAAATTTTCTTTTAATATTCAGAGTACTCGAAGCACGTTATCTTTTTTGCTCAGAAATCCACACTTAAATTATAAAAAAATAATAATAATTTTGTACAATACAT